GGAATTAAGACAAAAATAGCTAGATTAATATGCTAAAATATGGCACAAGCTAGGCTAGTAAGCAAGACACAAGAAGGGGAGGCTAACCCCTCTAAATTTGGGCTTCAAAACATGATTTTGGCCATTGAAATAACTTTAAAAATTAGTCTTTTAAAGCTCAAAAACATATGGTAAAATAGTTGGAAACACAAGGGTAAAGGCCTCCAAAACCAGGTGCAAAGAAGGGTGAACCACCCCTCAACCTTTAATGGCCTTAAAACCCAAGTTTCAGCCCAAAAATATAGAGGTTTTATAGCCCAAAAACACTTGAAAAACAACAAGAAAAAGAGTAGAGAAAGCAAGCTAATAGACAAAACCTTATACCTTTTGAAGAGGAAATCAATTCCAAACAACAAAACCAAGCAAACAACACCCTCAAGAGCTCCAACAAGGCTTTAGGATACCTTAACTCAAGTATGGAGAGATTTGGTTAAGGGTGTATAGGCTAAGGTTAAGGATTTGTAGGCAAAACTGTAGGAATTGGCTAGAGAGAGAGAGAATTGTAGAGAGGAAAAATTTTGTTCTAAAATATTTCCAACCTTAAAACATGAGAGGAAGGCCCTCTATATATAGAAAACATAAATTCCCCTCAAGGACATCCAGCCCTACATGTGGGTGAAGATGCATGCATCTGTGCAAACAGCTGGTACAATTGTCACAAAATATCTGCAAAAGAAGCTAGTGGCTGGCTAGCCATTAGTGGTGGCCGATAGCCATAAAAGGTGGTTGGCAGGCCAACAGAAGCTACAGGCTTGAAGAACCAAGGCTTGGTTCAAGAATGAGACAACAAGGGTGCAGGGTTTGAAAGGCTCAAAGTTGTGGCATTCCGCTAAGGACTTCGAGCACTTGACGAGCACATAAACTCATCATTGCGTGTGCATGCAATGACGTCCAAGTCTTAAGAGCCGTAAAAAATGGAGTGTCTACACACGCCCATAAACCAACTCATATGGGGTTGTGCCTTTACTATTTCTTTTGGAATTTCTATAAGCCCAAAGCACTTCTAACAGGTGGTTATGCCAATACCTAGGATTGTCTTCTGTGATAACCCTGTTCCGTATTATGCTAATTAATCTTAATTATGATTGTGGTTATGTGTTTGATATGATTTTGAGTGCCATTTATATGATTATATGTGGTTTTGAATTTCTATCTGTTCTACGTAGGGAAAATCTGTTAAACTTACTGTTATGAACTGAAAATTGAAAGCCTTATCGGCCAAAGAAACCGAAATTGACTACACCATTGTAATTGGCGTAATTTTTAGAGCCTATGGTAAAGTTTAATTGAAAACTGATTTGGAACGAAATAATTAGATTCAGAACGATTAAATTAAGCACCATTACTTAATCTTAATCAATTTGATTAAGGCAAGCATATATAAAGTCCCCATTACACTTATATTCATTTTGCTTGAACTCAAAATCTGAAATTACACTCTAGTGAGAGAGAAGGACCGGTTCAAGAGTGAGGAAGAGGGAGAATTGTGCATTTTGGCTCAAAGCTTGAGAATTGGGGGCTAAACTCAAGGAACTAATTACATTTGTGAAGATTGGAGCCCCTAGTTGAGTAAATTCATGAGTTTGAGTTGCGATTTTTGTGAATTCAAGATTAAATGGTAATCAAGAACATAAAATGGATTGATCGCGATAAGATTGAAGTCTATATGCACATGCATGCATATAATTGCCATGAATTTGCATAATCAAGCATGAGACATGTTGAATATGATGAATTGAGCACCAAATCATACATGCATGCATATTCCTAATGGATTCCATGTTTTTGAACATCATTTGTGCCATTTAAAGTGGAATTGGAGTCAATAATTGACATGCATGGATGATCCATGGAGATATGAAGTTGTATGAAGTTGAATGCATGAGTTTTGAAATTATGGAAAGAATTCAAGATAATTTATGAGGTGGACCATGATTTTGGTCAATTGGTTCCAAATTACTCATGTTCTTGTGTTATACGATGTTCTTCCCTGCTTTTGTGTCAAAAACATGAGTTTTGAACCTTTAAGCATTGAGTCTGAACTTCAAGAACAATTCTGGAAATTCCAGAATTTGGCATGTTCGCTCGAGTGGGAAAGGCGCCGCTCGAGCGTGAAATGTTAGCTCCCAAAACTTTTGCAGACATTGATGTCCGCTCGAGTGGATAGAATCACGCTCGAGCGCTAGCCATGTAGTTTGATTCTAGCTCGAGCGTAAATATGAGGCAACCAGTACTTTTGCAGACTAGAGGGGTCCGCTCGAGTAGCAGAAACCGCGCTCGAGCGGGGATTCCTGTTTCAGAAATTTTGTAAAGTTAATTTAAGTTTTGTTTTCCATTCTTTTTCATTTCTAAGCACTCTTAGGCATGCATTGAACATTACAAATGAGTTAAAAAGGATAAGAAAGAAACCTAATAGGGATGTATGAATTAAGAACGGATTGAATCGTTTGTGACCCATATATGTGTTATGTATTATGTAGGGTCGAGCACAAGGACGAATCCACTAGCAGAACACTATGAGTAATATCTTAATAAAGATATTTTGAAGTACGCTATTTGTCCAATTACTTACTCCTATTTGAGTTTAGTAAGCTTGTTAATCTGAAAGGTGGACAATATTTGTTATGCCATACGATTGGGCCAAAGGCCGTTGGATATGAACGATTGGGCCAAAGGCCGTTGGATATGAACGATTGGGCCAAAGGCCGTGGGATATGAACGATTGGGCCAAAGGTCGTTAGATGCGAATGATTAGACCAAAGGCCATTGGATATGAATGATTGGGCCAAAGGCCGTCGGACATAAATGATTGGGCCGAAGGCCGTTCGATATGAATGAATAGGCCAAAGGCCGTTTGATACGAATGAATTGGGCCCGAGGCCGTTTGATACGTCTGGATTTGTAGTAGTTGATACACTAGATAGAAACATGAATTGGGCCTAAGGCCGTCTGATGCGTTTGTTTCAAATTCCGTTCATGTATCTTCTTTATTTGATATTATTCACTGGACTTTCGCTCACTCTCATTCATGTGTCTGTAGGTGAGCCAAGAGATGTCCAAACCCAGCCCTAGTGAAGTATGAGAGAAACAATCAAAGTTTTGAGGAGTCAACCCATGCGTCTCACGCATGAGACTTGTTTTTGCCCTTTTGTTCTTTTGTTATATTTTTGCTTTGTGGGTGAAAACTTTGGATCACCTTTGTATATATAAGTTTTTAGTTTGGCTGACTATAACTTGAATGATCCTGTTATGTAAAGCTTATATGTTAACTTCCTTTGATGTGAGTTATTAACGAATATATGTGAAATGTTATGATGTGCCATGTAAACACAGTTCTATGGACAAAAGTTTAAGTTTGCTTCCGTTTTGGCCCCTTAACTCTGTTGAAATATATCCAATCTGGTTTGAGGCCGTAGGTAATCTCTTGATTACTGGCTGGTTATGACCTTAATCCATGGGGGTGGGTTCGGTCATGACATCTTCAATCATCCTTTCTAAAGTGTTCTTGACAATCTTATTTATTGCCTCAGCCTGCCCATTTACTTGGGCATAATAGGGTGAAGAATTCAATATTTGAATGCCATATTCTATGGCAAACCCTTTAATCTTATCCCCATTGAACACTGTGCCTTGACGACAGTAATGGATTGGGGTAAACCAAACCTATGGATCACATTCTTTTTTAAGAACTCAATGACTTGAGTCTGTGTAATCACTTTTAAAGGTACTGCTTCTACCCATTTGGTAAAGTAATCAGTAGCTACTAGCAAGTAAGAATGTGCTTTTGAAAAGGCTGGAAAAATTTGCCCTATCAAGTCTATGGCCCATCCTCTGAAAGGTCAAGGTTTCACCACTAAATGAAGAATTATGGCTAGAACTCTTTGAATATTGCTATGTTTCTGGCAACTCTGACATCCTTTCACATGCATAATGCAACCTTTTCTGATAGATAGCCAAAAATAACCATACCTATTAATCAACTATCTCATTTTCTCACCAGCCTAATGGGCCCCACAAATTTCCTCATGTGCTTTAGCCATGGCTTTCATTTGGTCTACCTTACCAATACAAAGCAAAGTCAAACCATCACGTGCCTTCCTAAATAAGTCATCTCCCATGTGTAGCTCGACTTTTTCACTCCCCCATTTGGAAGTTCGAAAGAAGCCCTATAGTTCGGACTCTCGCGGTTCTGAATCTAATCTCGCAAGTGCAATGTGAAATTGATAAACACCAAAGAGTCCAATCGGGCAAATCTTTTTGAAAAATTAATTTTGAATCAAAAAATGCCAAAATTGGACTGCTTTGCTAGATATAGAGTCGCCACCTAAATAATTTGTTTTGGAAAAATTTAGGAAACCCATGACTCGTGCCAAAGGCCACGTGTCCGTCATCACCAGGATTGTCTCGGCTTGGGAACTTAGGTACGAGAGGGAAAGGTCATGAATTGAGCACCCTCGCTCGGCCGATCAAAAATCGGCCTCTACTAATCATGATATGATTTTATCAACATTATATGCTCTTGTTTCGATTTATTAGGCTAGCATTTACTATGTGATGCGTGCACATAAGGTATAGACTAGTTTGCCCGAATTGGAACAATTCAATTTCATGTTTGTTTTTCAAAAAGGTTTTGATTTTGCCACTTAACAAAGTGGGCTTAAAGTTTGTGAATTTGCCACTTGACAAAGTGGGCTTAAACGTACGTTCATCGAATCATTCTAATTCAAGCAACAAGCCTTCATCCACAGGCACTCAAACAATTATAGCAATTAAGCACTTAGCCTCATTGTCAGGACCCAAACCCGCCTCTATAGGTTTAGCATCATGACCGGCCAGTAATCATAGATTACCTACGGCCTCTATACAAATTTAAACCTTTAATGTATGGCTCGGGCTTAGCGGAAGTCTAAAATGTTACAAAATTCATCCATTGAGCCGTGCATATATGAGGAAAACAAGTATGATGAACAAGGTTTTATTCCAAGTTACATTCAACATAAGTGCAAATTCATGACTTATAACATACGACCCCAACTATGTACAAATACAAAACTACTAAACCACACAAAAAGGGGTTCGATAAGCATGGCTCCACACGAGCCTGATTTCTTCTCTTGGAAGCTCCACAAAAAGGCTGACCTGGGTAAACTTGAGGCCATCTAACTCTGATGCTTGGTTTGCCCACCTACAGTTACATACATAATTAATTAGTGAGTCAGAGCCCAATGAGTAATAACAGAATAAAGAAGTTAAATGAATGAAGCTCGACAATAGTACAAAAACGTGTCTTACAATTATTGAAATAAATCTTCTATCATTTCCAAAGGGAGGCATTTGCCACATTAGATCAAATTCACAACAAACGTTCCGATTGGCAATAAAAACATCTCTTCACAGTAACAAAGTCATTCGCAGCCTTTTATGTGGTACATCCATGAAACAACAATTATTATTCCAATAATACGAATCATACTAGCCATGGTATTGTTACCCCCAGGCAAGGGCCTAGCCATGGTACTATCACCCCCAGGCAAGGGCCTAGCAATGGTATTGTTACCCCTAGGTGAGGGTCTAACCATGGTACTGTTACCCCCAGGCAAGGGCCTAGTTCAATGGATGCCACAATACCATTTCAAAACGGAACTTCATTCATTAAAGGACATAACTTTTCAGTAAGCCATGTTGTCAATCCTCAAATCATTTAAGAATTTGTACAAACAATCACATAACCATTTTGATAGCAATAACATTTTTGAAAGTAAAGATAATTTGAATATATCTTTATAAGGTTATTACTCACAGTGGTTTGCGGTGGTACTAAGCCTCGGACGTCCACCTAAACGAAGCACATAACAAAGCACAAATGAAACTCCATTTTACTTTAATTCGATTCTCTTAATGCGTCTCTAACTTATTGTATGATTGTATGAGTCCAAAAGATGCCTAAGAATGCTGGGAGTGGCATGAGGATGCAAATATGCACTTAAAAGAGTTGGTAAAATTTTGTTGAAAACAGGGTCTCCGCTCAAGCGCAACTTCCTACGCTCGAACGGGGGTTCAAAAACAAAGGTGGTCGCTTGAGTGTAACATCCGCCGCTCGAGCGGTCTGCAAAAGTACTGGATACATGAAATTCACGCTCGATGGTCACTCGAGCGGAATACTTGAAGGAAAAGGTCCTCGTTCGAGTGCCACTTCGGTCGCTTGACCGGACTGTAAAATTTTAGAAACTTCTGGGAGCTCAAAATCTACGCTCGAGCGGACAACATGAATTGTAGAATTTCCAGAACTGCAATTGAAGATCAAACATGGCATTCAAAGCTTCAAATCTTCCATTTTTGGTGTAAAAACATGGAGAGTCACTATATAATATGAAAACACTTCCAATTGAAACCATTTATTCAAAATCATGGCAAATTCTCAACCATTAACTTCAATTTCAAGTTGTAAAGTAATGTTTAATTCAAATTGAATACATATCTCTTAAAAACATATTCAAAACATGATCAAGTGGCATGTGAAACATGAAACATGGAGGATTCTCTAAATTAAGGTATAAATGTGCCATGCATGTAGGATTTACATGAATTCAAACTCAAATTATGCATGCATATGTGTAATTCAACTTTATTCTTCCATTTCTTGAAATTCATAACTTCTTTTCTTCAATAACATGTCAATGAGTACAAAAATGAGAGGAATTCACTTCTATATGCCATATCTATATAAATTAGTGATGAGTGCCTTGCCTAGTGTCGAATTCAAGTGTGGATTAAGCTTGATTTCCCCAATTCTTTAGCAATTCCTTTCCAATTCTTCTTCCCCTCTCTCTAAAGTGCTGCACTCACTTCTCTCCCTCTCTCAAACCTCAGCCAAAAGAGTATATAATGAGCTCATGGGTTATATTGAGTCTTATATAAGATGTAATTAGCTTAGCCTAATCAAAGTTGATTAAGGTTAATTAACTAGGCCTAATTTTATTTAAACCAATCAGTTTATTCTAATTATTTTGATCCAAATCAAATTTCAATTGAAGTCACCATAAAATTCTAAATATTCCAATTGGCCTATTGGGTTAGTCAATTTCAGCTTCTGAAGTCATCTAGGCTTTCAATTTCTGACTCTAAGTTATCAATTTAAATAGATATTCCACATATGAACAGATAATTATAGAATTAAGCATGTAATCACACAATAAAGCACATAATCATGCAATTAAACTCATTTAAATCACATAATATACTAGTTTGGAGGTCAAGGTTATCACACTCATGGCAAGCATGCTAGACATGACAATCACCCACACTCATGCATATATGCTAAAGAACTAAAAACTCACCTAGTACTCCAAGCTAAGATAAAACAAAAGAGTTAGAAAAATATGCAAGATTTCTAACTATGCAAAATGACTAATGCAACGCATGCAATAATACAACTAAAACAAGCTGTTATTTGCAACAATTTCATAGCATGCGTTTAAACACGTATTCAACGATGTATTGAAATGACGATGCAGTTAGAATGATGAACCGAGCCTCAATGCATGCAAGACAAATGAATGGATACAAACATGCGATATGTTAATTGAAACGTGATGTCCCTAATCTAACCATCAAAAGCGGATAAATAAAAGGGAGAAAGACGCGGGGTTGGAAAACATACACATTATTACATCATTGATGCCCTCACGCAGGAGGATCCAAATGAATAAACTAGCTAACTAGCAACTAATTGGAGTTAAAGCTAATTAATCAAACTATTACAAACCGAAATGAATAACTAGCTAAACTATTTAACTAATTATTACATCACTTGAATTAACTAACTGGTTAACTAACTAATTAAATAATTACAGCATAATTAGTTAGCTAACAAATTAAAGAATTACAGCACAATTGCAATTAACTACTTCGCCTTAGGAAATGAGAGGTGTTCATGTGCATGCACGGCTTCCACCCGAAACACTGCTGTTTTGCATCTGAATGCCGCTGTTTGCATAGTTGAACATTTCCAGAACAACTTTGCTCCACTTTACCAAGACTCTGTTGAGTTTTACATCAATGGCCAGCCGGCCAAAGATGAAGGTTGTCGGCCACCAACCGACCATGGAGGTGGTCTGCCGGCCACTGATGCCTAGGTTCATCTTGCTGCAACAGAGGTCAAACAGAGAATATACAAGGTATTTTCAAGGATTGTGTACACAATTCATCCCCCCTTTTCATGAACAAATCCAAGAAGTGGTGAACCTAAGCCACAAACCACCAATTCAAGCAATTTCATTGCATGATGGCTTGTGAACCCAAGAGTGCAAGTTCAATAAATGCAAAAAAAAAAAGACACAAACCTCCTCCATTTCATGAATGATCAAGGGAAGTGGTTAACCTTGGAGACTTGGATCATTTCATCACTAGCAAGTATGAAATGGTCCAAGTTCCATGTGTTCAATTAACGTCCGATTGAACACACCAAGACACAATCAAATTCTTATCTTTGCACAATTTTAGTTCCAAGTTTTAGTTACTCCTTTTAATTACCCTTCCATTCTTTAACCAAGTAAGTCCATTGGTGAGTTGAGTCCTCTAAAAGAGAAGGGAGTGTCAAACAAGGGGTAGTTTAAGTCAAAAGAGGTGTCATGCCGTTGATAATGAGCCCCCAAAAGAGGATTAAACCATTTAGCATAGACCTCAATCTCAAGCTTAAACAATCCCAAGGTTGAAACAACCCTCAAAGCAAACAAAGAGTGAAGAAATGAGGGAGGTTGTAGAGATTATGTTTGCTGAAATTAAGTGAGAAAAACACTAGAACAATGCAATCAACTCAAAAAAGTAATGTCTAAAGGCATAAAACACCAAGCTTGTGAGTACATTTACACTAGAAGCATGCAAAACAAGACTAAAATGACTTAACCAACCCAAAAAATAGTTAAAAAAAAGTCTAAATCAGAGATTAAAACATGTTGGATTTAAGCTACAAAAGGCTAGAAAAATAAGCTAACACATAGAGCTATCTAGGCTAGCAAACAAGACATAAGAGGGGAGGCTAAACCCTCCAAATTTGGACTTCAAAACATGATTTTGGCCACTGAAAAAGCTCTGAAAATTAGTATTTAAAAGCTTGGAAAAAGATAGTAAAACGGTGGGAAACACAAGGGTAGAGGCCTCCAAAACAAGGTACAAAGAAGGGTTATCAACCCCTCAACCTTTAATGGCCTTAAACCTAAGCTTTAGCACAAAAAACACAGAGTTTTGACAGCCCAAAAACAGTGAAAAAATAGTAGGAATAAAAGCAAAGCAAGCAAACAAAAAGGTGGAGCCTTATACCTCTTGAAGAGAAGAAGCAAACAACACCCTATAAAACTCAAACCAAGCTCAAAAGTATCTCAGCTCAAAGATGAAAAGAATTGGTTAAGGGTGTATAGGCAAAGGTTAAGGAATTTGAGGCTAAAGTGTAGAGATTTGCTAGAGAGAGAGAGAGAGAGAGAGAGAGAGAGAATTGTAGAGAGAGAAGCAAATTTTTGAGTTCAAAATTTTCTAACCTTTAAAACAATATAAGTGGCCTTCTATATATGGTTGCCCTACATGTGGGTGAAGATGCATGCATCTGTGTAAACAGCTGGCACAGTTGGCATAAAATATCTGCAAAACACACTGGTGGCCGACTGGCCATCACTGGTTGCCGACAAGCCACATCAGTTGCCAGCACTAGTTTGGCAAGAAAAAAGTGATGGCCAGGAAATCTCTATTAGTGGCCAGCAGGTCACCAGAGGTTGCAGACTGAAAAAGATAGCTTTGGTCCAAAACTAGGTTTGAAAGGCTATCAGGGTTTGCAAGGCTCAAAGTTGTGGCATTCCACTGAGGACTTCCAGCACTTGACGAGCAAACAGACTCATCATCAGGTGTGCATGTGAGGACATCCAAGTTGTAAGGGCCGTAAAAAATGGGGTGTCTATAGTTGCCCCTCTTTGACAGAACTCGGAGTCTTGAAATAACGTGAGTGAATGTTAAAGCCCAGAGACGACCCATTTTGACAAGGCTGTAACACTTGGATAAACAATCCGGACATAAATAAATGGTTGCGCCTGTAGGCTGTATACGTATCTCTTTGCAAGGAATCAAACCAGCGTAGTTCTGGGACAAGATGCAAATGATACACAATATAATGCAATAATACAATGATATACAACGTAA